TGGGCAGAAAAGACTAATACTATAAAAATGCTAACAAGACCTGAACAAAAAAAATCAATCAACTACTTATATGGTAATGGATTAAAGGACTGAAACCAAAGAAAAATAGTATTAATTTGACATTTTTTCTCAAAAACATTGTTGAATTTTATGTAACAGAATCTTTTGTAACATGACGTTTTCCCTACGGTGTATCAAATGGTAATATTGGAGTTATAAAATGCGGCAGATACGCGGCTAGCAAATAAAATAAATAATATTTGCTTCACAATTTTACTCAATTTCAAAAAATACCTAAAATCTTGTTGAATTTTATCTTAAAAAATCTTGCTGCGGAATATTTTTTGCGGTGTTTTTTGAGGGTTTTTAAATTAAAAAATTGACAAATGAACTTTTTTAATTTTCTGCTATTTTATCTGTGACTATCATCTCCGAATATTAACATCTGTTAATCCGTTAAGTAAATATAAAGTATGAGCGCTTATTAGTTGAAAAAGTTTGATTATTCACTTGATATTTTCATAAAATGCTGCGGATAGAGAGTCCAGAAAAAAGTAATATTTTCACAATTTTTCAGTTCGCTCATTTAACTCATTTTCATAAAATTCTCAAAAACCTTGATGAATTCCATCTAAGAAAAATTAAGTTGCGGAAGATTTTTTTGCGGATATTTTTGAGAGTTTTTGATTGATTGCTATGATTAATTGGAAACTCAATGATTCCTACAAAAGTCTATAAAAAGTACGATTTTACATCACTTAAGTTTGATGGAGAAGTGTCGTTGAAAATGCACCTATTTAGCGCTGAATAAAATTTTCAGTTTTCCCATGAACTGTCGTCATAAAACCCGAAGCCAATATCTATATAACTCGGAAAACATGCTCTTTCATTCCATGTGAACCGATTTGGCAAGGATTCGCTAACTGTTGGCTTCTCTTTGCGCGTATTGTGCTTTGCTGCAAATAAGTCAGGGGATCGGCCTGCGAACTAATTACGTTGATGACGATTATCTATGACGCTTGTTTGTTTGCAAATTGTCTTCGCGAACAATTTGCAGAATTATTGAGACGTAGAACGAAAAAAAATTAAATGATTCATGCAGATGCCGCCTTTTTGCTGTCTAGGATCGCTCTGATGTCGAATCTGCATCGGTGCAATTATTCTGCACTATTGAATCATTTTTTTCTGGCTCAATTAATATGCATATAATCTCTGATTGTTCATTATTGCAATGTCAGGCCGTAATAAATTTCATGCCAACATTGAAGAATTCCGCGATGTGTGTACGAGTGAGATATGGAAATGATGCAGGGGTGGATCTGGATGAATCATTTAAGGAATGGTCTTGTAATTGATTGTCTTTGGTAATTTACACGGTGCACGTCCGTAAATAATTGCTCGTAAGGTTTTCAACCAAATCTATATAGGGTGGCTCAAAAAGTTCGGATTTTTAGTAAACTACCTGCGTTTCTTAGCTCGTTCTATTCGGTCTGGTGTACATTTTAAGAAACACAGAATCTTCATTCTATTTACATGCCCCAGATGAGTGATTTTTAGTGAACCATTGCAGCAGATTGATGAGCTTTTCTTTGAAAATTGCTGCCTTTCTGCAAGCACTTAATAGTCGGAACTTGTCCGTAATACACAGAACGCCTGTTGGTCCTTTCGCCCTAAAATTGCCTATTTCAATCAATTACCCAAGTAATTTTATATTTGCGCAGTTTTCTTAAAGTATCTGCTATCAGTGTTTTGGACGCAATTAAGTTGCTGCTATTGAAAGCCTTAGAATATACTTAGATGAGTGTTTATGCAATCGGCCTTGCGTTTTCAATCATTCCAAATTCATTTTACAATGGCTTGAGCTTTGAAACGAAAGGGCCATGGATGGATTAACATAATTTATACGGAAAATAGAATAAAAATATTCGTCAATTTGAAAATATGCATTTATATAGGTAATATATACTTTGCATTAATGCTATTGATTTATGATCTAATAGAGTAAACGTTCTTATTTATTTTGCTCTTTCAATCGCTGACGCAGGAAATGGAAAAACTACATCAGTTTCCTACTTTGAGTTTACTCCTGAGTTTCCTACTAATCTGACTGAAAATAATGCGTGATTGGATTTTTTATTAATCAGAAATTAACTGAAAACGGTGGCAGACAAGAAAAAATGAAAAATTCCATATTGAAGAAGTTTACAAAATGTCGCTAAACTTCAGTAGCGGACTACCAAAAAGTTCTGGGTGATAAAAGGGGGCATTACCCCTAAGAAAATTACCACCTTGTGCATTTTTAAAACCGATTAGACGATTGAATGATGTGGACCCTGAGCGACCTACTGCCACATTATGAAAAAAAAATCTCGAAAGTGGAAAATTCAGAAGGGAAAAACAAAATAAAAATTCTAAAATCAGCACTTTGTATCTGAGAACTGAAGCGCTTGCAAATTTTTGTACTTATTTATTATTCTTATTATTATTCTTTAGAGATCTGTAGCTTCTGTGGTATTACAGACTACTTTTTTTCTTTTCAAAACAACGGCTAATTCAACGTTTAACATTTTCCGGGTCTTCATACACAGAAGGCGACTTCAGATTATAACTCGAAAGAGATTATAGTTTAATATTTTATTCCATTCGAAATTTGCTTTTAGGACGTGAAACCAACTTTTTCCTTAATGCAGAATTTATCAAACTATACAAGGTGTTCCCCTACGGGGTCCAGAAAAAACGAGTTAATAAGAAACTAAATATTAAATTAGCTGCTAGAGCTTCAGTTTTCAAGTGCGCCAACCAGAATTATTTTATTACAAACTTCTTTTTGGGTATTTCGTCTTTAAAAAAGACAGAATTTCCTCACGT